TAAATTATTCTAGTTTTTTTTTAGCGGTATTTGTTTCTTAATCTAACTTGATAGTTTATCTTCGTGGTATTAATTTGTTCAATTACTTACTATTACTCCTTCCCTCACAAAACTTAACCTTAACTGCCCAACCTAAATATGAGTATATTTAACTGTGTAACCTAAATTTAAGTGTTTTTAGAGAGTCAATAAAGTCATCTATCCCTAATACCGCAACATAAATTTGGAACGTAATAGGAGAATTTTTTTTCATGGGCAGTATAAATTTAATTTGGATGAAATTTTTATTAATTTTGCACCATTTTACCCAATTACGTAATAATAAGTACATTCAATTTTTCCTGTCACCGATATTTAAAAATATTTTCCTATTTTTATTTTTTAACATAACACTAAAGAACAGTAAGGGACCTTTTGGTCCATCTAGGCTGCCCTGTTTACTAAATTAGACTAATGAAGAATAATGGACGGAAGATATTTACCTTTTAAATAAAATTGAGAACATCATTGGATAGGTTAATATATTGTTATATATTTTATAGCCAAGAGATGGCGCTACAACTGGTATGCTTCCTATAATATTGTAAATGTTTATAAATCCTAAGAATGATATTCCTCTGACCTTTATTTTAATGCATTAATACAAAGTTAAAAGTAACTAGCACTTATTTTTTATGTTTTAGCTACGCATAGTTTATTACTTATACATTATCACTTTTCTTAGTGTTATATTCAGGTCGACAAAAAATTTTATAAAACCGTCGGCTTATCTTCATGCACTAATATCATTCCTTTTTGTTCCCAGTAGATTTTACTACTTGTATGAAAGGTAACATTTAGCTTCGATCAAAAATATTATTTTACATTTGCTCGAAAATAAATATAGTATTGTTGTTACTATTCACGACGATAGCTTTTGATAATATTTTAAGTAGTTATACAACAGTGTTAATTAATGAATTACCAGATTTAAATAAAACAAAAAAATCTATCGTCACAGGCGAGTAACGTCAAATAAAGTATTCGCCCATATTATCAAGAAAATAATATTAAATAATTTTTAGGTTGCTTAAAAAATGTACTTTTTAATATTAAATGATAGGGTTGTTTAAGAGACTCCTCATTTTGTTTTCGGTTGAGGTGTGTTGTAATCTGAAAAAGTAGGACTCTATGCCAGCCAAGGAAAACAAGTTCCTTTTTTTTTCTTTATTCTGCAAACTAAACTTGGGCCGTTTTGGTTCAGTTTTCAACCAACATATCACTCTGGTACTATTATACACAATTGATTAAATGCTTCGTGCGTTTGAATAAAGTTTTAGCATTCTGTATTGGTGTTTTTATCTTAGATTATACGATTATTTAATTAAAATCTATCTTCATAAATTGTAATACTAAACATATAATATGTCATAAAACCTTTATGAAAAAATGCAACTTTTATTCTTGAGGGCTGGGTGTGATCTATTGAGTAGCGTGCCCAGACTGCGAATGTGTAGATTCAAGGTTCGTGACCTGTTGACGCGAAAAAAACGAATTCCGCACTTTGACAGTGACAATAAAATCCCACTTATTCGATTACAGTATACCAAGAGTTGGCGGTGGGTGCTGTTGGTTAATTGATTTCTTTCTAGTCTGTCTGTTCGAAATTAGAAATAGTTATACACAGGTAGGTAATGTATAGCTTTGCGCAAAATTCAGAAACAAACAAATTTATAGGTAATTAAAGCTCGAACTTATGGGCTACTTGAAAGGTGTACAACATGAGTCAACACCTCTACCAAGGTTTTACTTCATCCAAACGACGAAGAACCACATTCCAGAGTGATTCAGCACTAGGTTTATATTCAAGAGAAACACCACATCGCCTTTATTAATGCTAGATCAACAGAAACGTGACCCTTTCTTAATAAGTACTGTAGATGTGCATTATAGTCATAACCTTACAATCTCTGCCGATTCCCGGTTTGCTAAATCATCAACACTGACGTGTCTGCAGAACTGTTCATAGTAATAGTAGAATATCGTGCGATAACTTATCATGTCATTTGTTGTTGTTGTTGTAAGCAGCTAGTTTGGCTCATATGATAGGTTTTTACCTCGTAATAAAGCCTTTATTTAACCACAGACGTTTAAAGTTTTTCAAGAGAGCATCATTTGGTGGGAGACTAGACGTAACTGATGATAAAATAAACAGTTTGTTCGCTTGCCGAGTTTACTATTATTTTCACATCAGTATAAACATAACTGTGTAACGTATTAACTGTATACATATCATATAAAAAATTAATATTCAGTGAAAGCATGTTAAGAAGTGTTATCATAAATTATTGCCTTCCGATGGCTCAACAGTAACTTGAGGTCGTATAACACTAAAACTTAGGGTTGCATACCTGCGGTGGGTACAACGCAGATAGCCTATTGTTGAGCTTTGCGCTTTAAAACACATGTAAATTATTTAATTGTGGTCATTTTGGAGTCATGATGGCCTATACGAAGAGGATCCATTCCCAGCTAATTTTAACTCTCCTACCCGAGTTGTGACTGGTGGAACATTCTAAATTTATTCGATATTGTATTACTTTGTCTAAACTGTGAATGCTGTTTTAATAAAATATTTTTCTGTTACTAATTTTTAACAAGTATAAGGATTTTTGTGTTTCCGAATTTGCACTCGCAATGATATTTTTGTTTCACCGACATAATCCAAAATACTTTGATTTCGCTTCATGCTCTAAATAAAGATGAGCGTTTCCTGGAATTAGAAAACTTCCCCAAAATGTTTTGAAAACGTCAACTTATAGAATGGAAATTATAATATCCTAATTGATCCCAACTTAGATTTGGATGGTCATATTTCTAAAACTAATCCTAAAATTGAGGAGCAGTTATTAAAACTTTGAAACTAATTACGATTTAATCGATACATGGAGCGCTTTTCGTCCTGTGTTGAAAGACTTGAGAACAATACAATATTTTATAACAAGCTCCTTCGAGCATCAGATTGTTATGTATTAAAGTTAAAACAGAGATAAGAAATTTTTCTTGTAATTCTGATTATACCTATTAATTTGCAGATAACTGAATATAGTAGAGATAATGTTATTATAAATTGGATTTTATTGATTTATAAATTAGCTTATAATTTCATACAAGATAATATCTAATCTCATTCCCATATATTATACCGATGACTGCTCAGAGATATTATTTTAAAGTAAATTATAGTGTTTTCAGAATTCTCAGTTTTTTAAATGAGAGACATTACGAGGACTTCTGGGAGTTATAAAAAGAAAGGTATGAATAAGAAGGAATCCGAATTAATTCACGAGTTGTATGTTTTAGGATCGTGTTCTACTTCTGATCGCCAAATAAGACCAAATAGGTATTTTGAAGATTAGAGATGCAAAACATTAGACAAATGTATGATGTAATGGATTATTATCTGAACATTATAAGATTAATTAGTTTTTTGTTGCATATAGATTTCGAGATGGCGTTGGATTGAATTTCACAGTTTTTTTTTTACTCTAGATATAATCTTCTAAATTGGGAAATACTTTGTTGTAATGAGATGAGAGGCTTACATCGTTCAATCCGAAAGGTTCAATCTACGTTGAGGATTCTAACAGGGATACTTTATCTCCATATTTCTTTCTTTTATGTGCTGAAATTTTTGGAACATTAGTTCGTAGTAATGATGTGAAGAATAATATTTTTCAAAAGGATAAAGAAATTAAACTGACTCAATGCGCAGTTTATTCTTGATATTCAACAGAATGGCATTAAAATCTAGTAAAACTAGACTACTATAAAACTACTGATATTTCAGGTTTAAAATAAAAATCTGAA